CATTTTCAATAAACTTTTGATTTATAAAGTATTTTATGAAGAATTTTATTTGAATAATAGTTACATCAATTATACATATATTTATTCTTTATAAATCAAAAGTTTATTAAAAATGTATGTATTATATTATATAATTACAACCACATATATCATAATGGTAAAATAAAAGGGTTACAAGCCAATTTTGTTAAAACATTTAATATTTTATCAATGTGATTTTATTCTTATTGAGTCATATTATCATTAATTTAAGTTTTTATATATAGATATAAACATATTAACTTTACAATATTTATTTGCATACGTTTTATCTAATACGATTTTCTTTGATTTCATAAATCGCGTGCTTGGGTAAACGAATTGAAAGTCTTACTTTATCTTTGCATTTTTTTGCAAAAATATGACCCTAATATGAATAGCGACTAAGAGAATTATCATATTAATTTCTTCTCTTAAGTCTCTTAATATTTCTTTTTAAAATCATTTTTTTTTTAGCATATCTCATTTTATTATATAACGATTATTACTTAATGTAAAATATATACATTGGAAATTGACGTAGAAAATTACGCACAAACTGTACATAGTTAACTGAAAATTGACGCAAAAAATTATATACAAATTATATACAAAGTGCATACAGTCTATCGAAAATTGGCACAAAAGAGTAAGAAATATTTCAAGTATGTCTATATTGTGTAAAATTTAGCATGTTGCTTACCGAAAATGTAATTTCTCTAATCTACATATTTTAGTCGTGAGTTTATTATATTATTTTTATAAAATGTTATAATATTATTTATATAAGATTTGATAACATCATATTATTATATGTAAGATATCCTAATATTATTCATATGTGATTTAAATTTTCTATCAAACGAAACAGGTGTTTTAGGAATTCATACTGGTGGTCGCGCGACACGAAATTGTACATACAATTTAAAAGTTTATCAGTGCAAGTAAATAAAAATTAGTATGATTAAAACGACAACCGCATGTGATATTAGCGTATTAAGGATTCCGAACATAAGGCCGATAACTGGACACTGGATATATTATATTGACAAACGAAGCGAACGTTCGATACAGCGAAACAGTTTGACAAGAATGACGAGGCTAATCTTTCTCGTCTCATAAATCACATTTCAATTTCATAATACACTTGGATAAACGATCTGGAAAAGTCTTACCATTCGCTGTTGTATCCATCTTGATATCGTTCGATGATCAACAGCTAGTAAATTACTATTTTCTCGTGGTTCTCGACAACCTGCTTCCTCGTGAGATAAATGTAAACTGTCTTCATGCGTTGCACGCTTAACTAATCCTATAACACTTACAATAGAAAAGATACTGAATTTTTTTTATAAGAGGTATATATTTTTTTCTTTTAATCCACCAACCACAATCCAAAAGTTGATTCTAGTTACACTTTATATATCAGATTAGAACGACTAATGCTCCGCCCATGTACATATGTTTCGAAATGGCAATAAACTCCACAATTTGAAAGATAATTATTGAATATAGAATTTTAGGAATAGGGGCGAAAACCGTTGAGTTTCCATCTACATCGAGCTGGGTTTGACAAGTCCACCGCCATTTCATCGGAAGAGTATTTCAGTGGATTTTCGACACGCGAGCATTTCTCGATCGCGATCTCGCGTTCGCGCGATCGAGAAATTGACGACAATGCGCGACGGCGCATCGAAAGACACTGTGCTCTTTCGCCAATACATCACGCCGCCGATCGTTCTCTTTCCACCACACTAAGGCAGTATGTGCTACCACCACCATCGGCCAAAAGTCGTCTTCTCTTATCGTTATAAGGCATTTGCTCGCCAGCCGATTCGTCAACGATTTAGATCCGCATGATAGTGTCGAGACAAATTTTTCAAAACTGTATCGCCAAAATTCTTTCTCGATTGAAGATACCAATATTGATAATTACGCGCGCTTTGAGAAAATAGTTCACTTGTAATGATCACATAAATGACAAAATTTAAAGAATATATTTGCGATTGGTTCTAATTAGAACACATAATTATTTTTTTAAAAAATTCTACAATTTGCAATATGCATACTTGTACGCATAACTATATACTTTTTTTTTAACTATGTGTTTTCTTTATGTCAATTGATTCATCTTAATATAAAATATTAAGATACAGTTATATTTAAAAAATGAGTTTTATTGATAAAAATACTATTTTTTTTCAGTCTGATTAAATCCAAATATTAGCAATTTTCAAATAATATAGTAAAATCTGTTCATATTTTAAAGTTTTGCCTAAAGAAACTTTTAATCAGTAAGTCAAGAATTATAACTTACTGTAATTTCAATCAATTTCACCGAGACCAAAAAATCCGATGTTGTGCAAGATCCTTTCAGTAAAAAATGTTTAATTCTTATCTATTATATATCTTATTTATATATATATATGTACCTAATTGATAAAACTTAATGAAACAAAGAAAAGTTTTATCTGTAACGTAAATAAAAAGTTTTTCTTGAAATAATACTAATTTGTTTATAAATATAGAAAAGGTTCCTCAAAGAGTTAAAGCACAGTTAAAAAAATAAAATGGAAATTAATGAAATTTAATTTTGTTAAAGATCAGAAGAAATCAAGAGTTCTTATACACGGACAAAAATTTACGTTTGCGACTTCAAGGTTCAAGCCGTGTAGCGCTGTTGGAACTGTGATAACTCCACACTGGTTTAGATACAATTTATAGGGGCGTGTTCGAATTCCCACCTGAGAGCTCTCCGGATGTCATATTATTCTTGTTATTTATCGAATGTAAACAAGGATGATAGGACATCTAAGAAGCATCCAAATAGGAATCTGAACACGCCTTAGCATGCGAAGGAGGCGTGCTCGAGTCTCGCTAAAATCGTTGCAAATACAAATTTTTTCCTGTGTGGAATTGTATCAGCTTCTGGATGGATTCAACAAACGCTTATTATATGTTGCCTGTTGGTATGATTTAATCACTATATATTGATCAACTAATGAAGTAACAGGCCTCTTGTAGTGAATAATAGTCACGTGAAATCGATAAAATTATCGAATCGCGCTATTATCAATATAGAGTTATGACAATTCCACACTGGATTCGACACATCACTTGTAGCGTGGTCGAATGAATGGCGTTGAAGTCGTCGCAAAAGCAATTTTTCCCATGCAGTACAAGATAATAATGAGAAATAAATGTAAGAAAATATAAAGAATGAAAAGATTCGTGTTAAATGGAAAGATTTAAAATTCCTAAGCATGTTATAGTATTTCTAAGCATAACGTCATGAGCGCAATATTCTTACATATATTTCTCAGAGAGAAACAGATACATGGAAACGAAGAAATGTTCGCATAAATCTTAGAAGGCTCTCTGAGAAGGCGTGAATGTTGACCATGAGAGTCTTTATTCTTTAAGGAGAATAATACAATCCATATATGTTTTAGAGGTCGATGTCATATCAAGTCTGATATTCAGACTCGACCATCGTTCATATAATTTTATTTATTCGATCAGGATATAAAATCTCACTAAAGCGTCACTCCGTATGCTTAAAATTGAGTAAACGCCCCGATTGTCATGCAGCTATTTAAATAATATTAATTAACGCAATAACAATTAAATATATATTAGAATTTTCTCCCATCCCAATCTTTCCATTCTCTCACGCACGCTTTTACGATTTTTCTTTCCCGTGTGTATCAGCGATAGGATTAATTTCAAAATACCGGGTTTACATTTATTTGAATTTGTATGTCACTTTTTTAAAAGTTTTTTTTACGATAAGCTATACAATGTAAAATATAATGGAGATTATTGCTTCCTTTTTGTAAAAATAATCATAAAAATGTATAAAATCATTATTATATGTAATTTTGTAAAACAATTATTAATAAATATATCAACAATTAATATCTCACGATCCAATTATCGTTACGTAAATAAATACGTAGAATTAAAATCAGATAGTAGACTAGGTATCCCCATCGTTCGCTTATAAATGTATATCTATGCATTTCTGTGAATCTCAACCGACTACTACATTTTGCGAGCGTGGCGAACGAAAGCGATTCTCGTGCAATGACGAATTCCGCTTCGATGGACCTAGAAGTTCTTCTTCTTCTCCTTATCCATCAGAATGTTATCGTGGTAACTGATCTCTTGTCCAGCCACAGCGGGATGCAAGTAATGTGGTTCCACGTCGATCTTTTCCTTCACGTCCGAGTCCAGCACCAAAGAATGATGTGGTCCGTGATGAAGATGCTGTTGTTGTTGCTGTTGATTTTGGTGCTGATGCTCGTGCTGATGCTGATGATGATGTTCATGCTGGCCTTCCTTATTTTCTTGAGTATACTTCTTAATCTTTTCCTTCAATTTTTCCAAGTCGAGTTCCAAGTTTTCCTCTTCTTCATATTTAGAGAACAATTCCTTATGTGATTCGTCCAGTTTTTGCGACTCCTTCAATTTCTTGACGAGTTGATGAAACCGCTCATTGATTTGCGTTCCGTTAAATTCTCTTGTTGTATTCTTCGAGGCATTTAAGTTCGGATCCAACAATAAATCGGGCGTCTCGTGTGCTACATTTACATTCTTGTCCAAATTCTCCTCTGTTAAGGACTGCAGTAAGGTGTTATAGTCCGGCTTGATCTTTGAAGTCTCCATGCAGGAACTGCAGGAACAGTTTGTGATAATCTGCACCTTCTTTTGCATAGTCACTGGATTATTTTGTTCGTCTTTGCAATCTAATGTAACCTGAGAATAATTTTCAATAGTTAATTTTTGAATAATTATATTCAAATCTTTTATTAAGAAAATAAACTTTTTTTTAGTAAGAATGTAAAATTATAAGAAATAAAAAGAAATGAAACAATGTAATAAATATAAACACTTTTAAAAATAAGATTAATGATAAAATACAATTTGTTATGACTTTATCGATCAATTTTATCAGGTGCATTAAGGATATCAAGATAATGAAGATAAAATATTTTTTTAATCAACGTGATAATTTTCTTCGCACATAATTTACAAGAAAATGAGAAACATATTGCAAGAAGGAAACTATAATATAATCCTTATAAAGACGCATTTCTTCTGCGAGATTCTTAACATTTGTATTTGTATATTTTTTGGGTCGCTGATTATAAGTCCAAAGTCAAATTGTTGAAGAAATTCAAAATAGTACAATCAATGGCAGATTGGAAAGATTGATTGATGAAAAATGGAAAGATATTTGATGAATTTATGTCATGTTGAATTGTGCTTTTTTTATTTTTATAAGAACTTTTTATAAGAATTATTAATATTAGAGAAAAGTAATTTTTTAAATATTTTATCATTTATACATCATTTAATTATTTCCAAGAAAAAACACTTTCAATATTTTTATACATCCAAGATTTTTAAAATAAAAAACGATCATGTAAAAAATTCTTAATAAATTATTAGAGTTCGACCGAAACCGAAATTGGACGAACATATGATTTTCAGAGAGTCATTGAAAAATTTCAAAATATGTGAAATTTATGTACAATTTAAAAAATAAGATTTTATTAATATCTTATTATTCCTTAAATTATAAAGAATTTCAGGCACTAGATATGGCGACTTGATGAAAAAAAAGGATAAAGAAGGAAGGGATAACGTCGGTGTGGTTTGCAGCAGTCAGCACGGATCAGCTGATGATAACATATAGTTTTTCGAATGCTCGTCGGCGCGTTGCAATTTGTATAGTTTCGAGTTATTGACATTTTCTCTTAATTTCGGCCAAAACCGAAATCAAATTAAAACTTTGATTTTTTAGCAAAACTGACCGAAACTGAAAACGAAATTTTAGTCAAACTCAATGAATTATATATTGCAAATTAAAAGGTTAAATACTTGTTTAAATTTTTTAAAGATTTCTAAATTTATTAATTTATATGTAATTTATATGTAATTTATTGATAAACTTACAGTATGCCAAACACTATCGAGAGGTTGACAGGAATCGCAATAAGGTCTTATGAGATCTCCAGGTGCGGAGGGTTCACTGTGAGGGACCATATATGAGAAACAAGCACCGACGCAAACGTTATTGTCCAATTCCTGCGAAGAACACTGAGGCCATGTCACTACCTGTTTTATAGGCGTCGTCTTGCACCAACTGTGCTTATCAGGATACAGCACGATATTGTGGACCTAACAAAAATTTAAATTTTTTATAAGTAAATTATTTAATTTAATATATGTATAAGAAAAAATATCAGATTAAATAATATTAATTCAAAATTATTCTTTTACAAAATTCTAAAGGAAAAAGATTGTTTAATGGATGACGTTAACGAACGGAGACAAACCTTGTGTTCACGATGAGCACTGAGTAGAGCAGAATGCATTATTAACAAAAGCATTATTGCGGAAAGCCGCCATATCGTCCTCATGATTCCTGAAACAGTATAAAGAAATCGAAGCTATCCAAATTTTTCTACTTTGTGTTGGACAAGGCAAATAAAATAGTTAAGATATTTAGAAGGTGAATGATTATAAGATCACAATTCAATAAACGTGATTTTTTAGTTATTATTAAATAAACATTACTCCATATCAATATTCAAACGTTTAATCTAACTTCATAAAAAAATCACAACTTAAATAGAATAGCTTTTAAGGGTCGTAAAACGAAAATAACTTTTAATAAGGTTGAAAAAATATTCTTTCAGCAATATTATTTGCACTCTTACAGCATACTATTTGATTAGTCAATAATTTTCTGCCAAGTTAAAAAATAATCTTTTTTTTTTCTGAGAACTTAATTTTTTCAGTTACAAATATGGGTAGTGATTAGTTAATAAATTAAATAAAAATTAAATAAAACGTTAAAAATAATTAAATAACTTAATAATTTTTAATTCAATTTACCTTAAAACTTTAATTTATTAATTTTTTTATTAAGTTAAAATTCTTTTTATCTCTCTAAATGCCAATATGCTAATATATTTTCTAAAATTTTAAATATCAGAGAATTAGTTTAGAAGAAGCTCAAAAATTGTGTAATAATCGCGACTCTCCAGTGTCCAAAGATATGTGGGATCTGTATTTAGGAAATGCTATCAGTGTTATTGCGTTATACTTTTATCTAATGTTTTGTTTAATGAATGATAAAGAGAAAGAATAAAAACTTTTTGTTTATATATAATTTTCAATGAACGTGCAGCGTAAAAAAGAATACAAAGTTAAACTTTTACAAAATTAAAACAATTACTTATGCAGAAATACAAAAAATTAAATTTTTATTATACAAAAAATATGTTTCTTTATGTTTCTATTATTATTCTTTATGTTTCTATTGTTCAATATGTTTCTATATGTTTCTTTTTATTTATATAATTAACAAATAAAATATTAAATTTATCTAATGATCTATATTATAATTGTTTTGTTATTTAAAGTAATCTAATTTTAAGAAAAATTAATATCTGATTTAATAAAATTAATGTTTCTAAAATAAACTTCTTATTTAACTTAAGTTAATTTCATCTCAACGTAACTTTAACTGAGTTAGATTTTCTTTCTTCATTCAACTTTTAATTTAACTAATTAATTTTATAAGCGATTAACTTAATTTAGTTTTAAAAAAATATTATATAAATATATATAACTTAACCAACTTAATAATTAACCATTAATGATTGACTTAAAAATAACAATTATTTTATTTCTATATACTTTTTTTTTATTTGAATTTATATACGGCTGAGAAGAACTAAGTAGAGCTCGAAAAAATGTCATCGTAAAATAATAAAATTTTTGTTTATCTTAACATTTGTCCGTTTAATATAATAGATCTTATAAAAAAATTTTTGTAATAGAACTTCGAAATAAATGTTGACGGAATGGTGCATCGATCTTTTATAATATATTTAATAATATGTAATTAATAATATGTATTTATTAATATATTTATAATATGTAGTTAATCAAAGTGATTATTTTATATGTAATTCGATAATTTATGAAAGGAAATAGAAATAATTATTTATTAGCACTGAGAAAGATTTTGTAAGTCAAAACGTTTACAACAATGTATATATAGAAATAAAATAATAATTATTTTTAAGGGATTATTCCATCATGAAAATTTTTTTTAATCGATATTTTAGAGTCTTAAGAATATAAATTTTTTTATTCGAAAGTGAAATTCCTAATATTAACGATGATACAGTTGATTATGTCGAGCAGTGCACAGCAATGCTGCACCTCCACGCCACTGTTAACCGTTTATGAATAATTCCGTCATTATTTGATGTTATAGTTACATATCTGTACTGTAGATGACTGATACATAATTTTAATATAGATTATACCGGTTTCGATTAAAAATCAGTGTGTCTAAAAATACAACAATAAAATGTGCTTAAAATACAACGAAAAGAGATTGTTATTGAAACTTTAATTGCGTTTTTCTCAGAATGGTGTTATCGAAAACGGTGGACACTAGAACTATTACAAAATCAATCTAAATGCTTTGAAATTTGGCTCAGTTATTGTCAATTGAATTATCTAAAGAAACCTGTGATTTTTGCGATAACTTACATATTTTTTTTGTTATCCACATTTTTGTGTCGAATTTTTACGAAAAGATTGAACTTTTTTTTCACGCGTGCATCATTTTTATTTTTCAATATTTTTTAATTCTGCCAGATAATTCTCTAGCAAATTTAATGCAGATTAAAAATAATTTTTTAATCTTTGGCTACAGCGTACCTTGAACCTATTCTGCTGTTCACCGCGGATTTCTTCCATGCAAGCTTCCAAAAAATGTGCTATTTTGTTTTTTAAAATTATAATTTTCATATGTTTTTGTACATCAAAATATGTACAAGTAACATATAGATATAAAAAAATTTTTTGTATCATGTATAGATTTTTAATAATCACTTCTCAAAAGTAATGTATGATTTTAAAGTCTCCAAGATAGAATAACCTTTTAAATCAATCTTTAATGCTTATAGACGACAATATCATAGCAATTTTACGGGGGGGAGGGGAGAATTTGTGTGTGTGTGTGTGTGTTAATCAACCCTGTTTATCATTTTTAAAGTAAAGAGTGATATGATTTTTTTACAACTAAAAATATAAGAGAGAGACAGAGAGAGAGAGAGAGAGAGAGAGAGAGAGAGAGAGATTCGCGCAATCAAGATTATGAAATTACTTTCAGCGATGAAAATGGAGAGACGAAAGAAAAAATCTGTATCAATTTTGATCTCATCTATGTCATGATATATATTGAGATGAAAACAGTTTACAACGAGTGTATTAGATCACTAGAAAATTATTTTCCTGAATAGATTATGGTAGTGTGCCATTTGAAATCGTGGAGATAGCGTGCTATTTAACTTGTAGGCTTTCGGGTTCAATGACTGACTGGAATTATATCAGCGAGAGATTTATCAGTATTGGGTTTATTTCTTTTTATTTACGCATTCATAAACTAAAATTCATAAACTTCATAAATCAATATGTTTAATGTGTTGACAGCAAGGAACATACGTACGTAGATATTAAAGTCATTGAGAAATGTTTAACTACTGGTTTCTCAATAATTTTGAAGCATATAAGTATGACGGAAAGATAGCATCCGGATAAATTACTTTCGCTACCGAGAAGTTAATTAAATGGCTCGCGTGCGACCTCCAAGTATCCGTAAAAAGACGCGTCAAAAGTTATGGTCGGCTCGTTTCAACGCCATACGAAGGAACGGGTTCTCGTTATTGGATGATGACGCGACGCGTTTCATTCATAGATTGTTAAGGCTGTTTCCCGATCTCAATGTATCATGCTCGAATTTTAACTTTTCGAGATAAAGAAAGTTCATGTTTTTTCGAAGCTTGGCACATAGACGAGGAAATTTGTCATGGATGCCTTATCATAAATAGCGGCGAATTCAAAGTATGGAAACATGTACTCCTTCCAAGGATGTATTTTTTAAACTCAAGGGACATATGTGGCGCTTGAAAGATATAAGATAGAAGAATGTGTGTTTCTCCATTTAAATACAACAAAATAAAAACAATAAAAATTAAAATTTTAATCAAATAATGTAAAGGAAAAGTTTAGATATAAAGAAAGTTTATATACATCTAAACTCTCTTTTATATAGATCTTATTTTAGTTTATATACATCTAAACTCTCTTTTATACAGATCTTATTTTTTTGCGCAACTTAACCTTCTGAAGTCGTTAAAATCTATAACACAATTGCTGAGTAAGATCTACTTAATTTATGTTAAAAGACACTAATTTCAAATAATCAAAATGACATAACTACTACAAAAAAATAAATGCTGAGTTTAATAAGAATAATTATATAATAATTATATAATAATTTAATAATAATAATTCAAATTTACAGATGTATGTAAAGAAAATCGGATTGTTTGACATCTTTGACAAAGAGATTTACAATTGAATGAATTCACAATAAACTTACCGTCTGGAAGATAAAAAAAAGTTATATAAATAATAGTAATTGTATAAAAAAGCAAGAAAGATTAAATGAAAATAATAATATAATAATAACTGAAACAAATATATACGTTTGAATATATAAATTTTTATCTAATATTAAAAATCTTAAGCTTTAAATACTTGTTATATAATACTTGTTATATAATAAATATTTCGATTTAACAGAGGTAAAATCTTCTGCGAATCAATCACAACGACATTGATACGAATGTCAAATCAGAAAGACGCGGTTCCAATTACGTGGATCCCGTTGTTTTTTCGGTTGCACCGGAAAAAAGAAGCATCTAAGTCGAGAGATCCCGCGATGTTGCATAGGTACTCGTGCTGTCCTCCGAAGGATTCACGTCCTCATCGAGGACGAAACTTGAATTCCTGACAACGACAAGAATCTTGTCCTTCGCCGAACAATTGGTCGTCAGTATTTCCAGAAAGAGGATCGATTTTTCGTCTTCTGTCGTCTCTTGCCAACGATGCATTTCGATTTCGATCCTATTCCTCCGCCTCTCTTTGTCCTTTCATTTTCTGCTTCATTCTCCTTCGGTTCCTTTTCCTTCTATTCCACGACTTCCCACTATATCCATCCAATCTTATGTTCAGTTCACAAGAAGGATCTTTTTCTTCGTTCCGCAACGCAACCCTTCGTCCTCCTTTATTCTCACGTAGAATCTCTTCGATCTTCCGTTTTTTATTTCAAGTTCTAAGAACTACAGTGCAGTCAGGATTGCAGACCAATTTCATAAATTTGAAAGAAGCTAGCTGATTGAAATGTCAGAAATAATCGAAAAGAAAGCGCAAAGTAGAAAATAGTGCAAGTTTTTCAATAAGTTTTTGTAGTTAACGATATACAATAGTTGTTAAACGAAATAATTGATTTCTTTATTTCTCTCGGTATATAATACTATTTATCATATCACAAGG